ACCCTCCCACACCCTCCCACACCCTCCACCCCACTCCCCACTCCCCACTACCCTTCCAACATACCCATGCCCACTTAGAACCCACTTAGAAGAAGGCCACCATGAGGTCACTATTCTCGGTGAGCAGTTAAAAGTCCAGTCAATGACACCGCAACTAAGCTATATTTCGATTATTTAAGATGAGTGAAAAATGGCGGTGGAATAGGCGAGTGCTCAACGTCATTCTCAAGCCCGTGTGAATGAGCAGCTCAACGCAGAGAAGTCATTCCACGGGAAGTCTGCTTGATCGGTTTTGGCATTCACATCGCGAGTTTCCTCATTCAAGTCCTGTTTAAATATTAACGATCGGAAACCTCCTGTGCAGTTGGTGAAAACAAAGAAGCTGTCATGACTGACCACCTGAGACGCACTAGATTTGGAGAAAATGTTCATTTAGAGTTCAAGTGTACCACAGAGGTGACATAGAATAGTAGTGCTCAACTCACGGTAACTGTGGAAATCCAGTACAGTTACTGACCACGTAAAATTGCACAGGTCGTTTGCCTGGACAGAGTGCCATGACTTCTCCGTTGGGGACAGTGGCTTTCCAAGCATACTCCGTTCGGTTCAACTCAAATGTTTGCTGGAAACTACCAATCCCTGTTACACCATCTGAAATATAAACGAGTGAAAGGGTTCAACAAGTGGGGTTACTTGAGGATCCGACTTCTGTCATGAGGAAGGTGATATTATGCGGGGTTGTTTGGCAGCACTTTACTTGGTGAACTACCAAAAGACTTAGGAGGAAGGTTGTGAGTAATTGGTTCATGGCGATGAAGTGGCGTTGTGGCGCTAACCGATACCAGGTCTTATATATTTACTCAAACGCGTGATATCTGACCTCCCCTAACTCCCATAAACCCACAATCATTAAAAGTGGCGTATGGGTAGGCCAAATGGCTTTCATCTTCTCCTCAATCCGCCGCTTCTTGCTTCAAGTTGATCCAGAAATGTGTGCTTGAACTTCTGTAGTCAGAAAGTCGCAATTAATCCCACCGGATTAAATTAGCAAACACGAGATGCCTTCCATAAACCCACATATTTGACAGTACACTTTTCTTTCACTATTGCCTCATCTCTGATTTTTCCAGGCAATTTCCATCTGCTCTGCTCCATGCCATGATTTCGTTCCCAATAAGCACCCTCTTATGATGTAAGTAGTCGAATTCGTCAGCAGACTAGAATAGATCTAGCAACGACTCCACTCAAATCGGCACCACCTTNAGGCAATTTCCATCTGCTCTGCTCCATGCCATGATTTCGTTCCCAATAAGCACCCTCTTATGATGTAAGTAGTCGAATTCGTCAGCAGACTAGAATAGATCTATCAACGACTCCACTCAAATCGACACCAAGTTCTTGAATAGGTGTGAAGACAATTGCCCTCCACCTTCCTACTTCTCGCTAAGTATCTGGTGTGAGCTGAAATGTGGAGAAATTTCTGTTCAACAGTTTTATCCACTCTCACATGTTTCCGAAATGTACTGACTTCTCTTCCTTTCACTATGGATTGCGCTCATTGTGGTAGTGGTGAATGTGCTTGAATGAAATAAAAAGTAGATTTGGGTGGGTGATGGAAGTGAATTTGCTGCTATAGATGCAACTCTTGCTTACAATTTTCCGTTTTTCCTATAAGGGCTCGAATAAGGCGTTTCTGAATGTCCCAAGGTTGCAATTTGATCAATTTGATATTTTTCCCTATGTTGTAATAGCACCTTACAACCTAGAGGAAGTATAACTCACTTGATTTTACACCTATTGAATTTATTTTTGGTTTGGAAGGCTAATCGAAGGCAGTCATGGTTTTCGAGAGAAAATGGATTTTGCTTACTTGAAGTCCAACTCATGGCTGGATATGTTTAAATGTTAATTAAGAAGCCATCGCAAAAGCGATTGGCCAACACTACGGCCAATCATTTGGCCCATGTTCAAGATTATACTTTTCTTTCACTATTGCCTCAATTCTAATTTTTCCAGGCAGTTTCCATCTGCTCAATGTTAAGTAGTAATTACGCGCAACCTCTGATGCAGGCGTCTGAACTCGGCCTCGATGTCTTCATCCATTCCTGTACCAAGTTCTAGATAAGAAGTGAAGGGCAATTGCCCACCTTCCCACTTTCCACTAAGTATTTGATGAGTACTGAAATAGGTAGAATTTTCTGTGCAAGATTTTTATTCACTCTTGTATCCCAGAAATGTAATGACTTCTCTTCTAATTATTATGGGTTAGAGCAGTTGTAGTGACTGTGGCTACAGTAGTAGTAGAATTTAATTAAAGTGAATATTTGGCAAATGCGGAGGATGTGTTTGGCATATTTAGCTCAATTTTTCGTTATATTTGAAAGTCTGCAAAGTCTAAACCGTGCAGAGAGTACATCAGACATTCAGTGTTGATGCCGTTTTGACTTCAGGGCTTGAACACCTCCAATACTGCAAAAATCATTGCTGAATTGGATCCTCAAATGCTGGCAAAACACCTTCACAGATTGGGAGTATACACTCAACTCACATGCCCTCTATGTAACCTACATGAGGAAATGGAGACGACCCACCTGATTCGGTGTCCAGNCTTTCACTATTGCCTCATCTCTGATTTTTCCAGGCAATTTCCATCTGCTCTGCTCCATGCCATGATTTCGTTCCCAATAAGCACCCTCTTATGATGTAAGTAGTCGAATTCGTCAGCAGACTAGAATAGATCTAGCAACGACTCCACTCAAATCGGCACCACCTTCCTACTTCTCGCTAAGTTTCTGGTGTGAGCTGAAATGTGGAGAAATTTCTGTTCAAGAGTTTTATCCACTCTCTCATGTTTCAGAAATGTACTGACTTCTCTTCCTTTTACTATGGGTTGCGCTTATTGTGGTAGTGGTGAATGTGCTGGAATGAAATTAAAAAAAATAGAATTTAGTGGGTGATGGAAGTGAATTTGCTGCTATAGATGCAACTCTTGCTTACAATTTTCTGATTTTCCTATAAGGGCTCGAATAAGGGGTTGCTGAATGCCCCAAATTGAAATTTGATCAATTTGATATTTTTCCTATGTTGTAATAACACCTTACAATCTAGAGGAAGTATAACTTACTTGATTTTACACCTATTGAATTTATTTTTGGTTTGGAAGGCTAATCGAAGGCAGTCATGGTTTTCGAGAGAAACTGGATATTGCTTACATGAAGTCCAACTCATGGCTGGATATGTTTAATGTTAATTAAGAAGCCATCTCAAAGCGACTGGCCAACACTACAGCCAATCATTGGCCCATGTTCAAGGTTATACTTTTCTTTCACTATTGCCTCAACTCTGATTTTTCCAGACAGTTTCCATCTGCTCAATGTGAAGTAGTAATTACGCGCAACCTCTGATGCAAGCGTCTGAACTCGGCCTCGATGTCTTCATCCATTCCTGTACCAAGTTCTAGATAAGAAGTGAAGGGCAAATGCCCACCTTCCCACTTTCCACTAAGTATTTGATGAGTACTGAAATAGGTAGAATTTTCTGTGCTAGATTTTTATTCACTCTTGTATCCCAGAAATGTAAAGACTTCTCTTCCAATCATTATGGGTTAGAGCAGTTGTAGTGACTGTGGCTACAGTAGTAGTAGAATTTAATTAAAGTGAATATTTGGCAAATGCGGAGGATGTGTTTGGCATATTTAGCTCAATTTTTCGTTATATTTGAAAGTCTGCAAAGTCTAAACCGTGCAGAGAGTACATCAGACATTCAGTGTTGATGCCGTTTTGACTTCAGGGCTTGAACACCTCCAATACTGCAAAAATCATTGCTGAATTGGATCCTCAAATGCTGGCAAAACACCTTCACAGATTGGGAGTATACACTCAACTCACATGCCCTCTATGTAACCTACATGAGGAAATGGAGACGACCCACCTGATTCGGTGTCCAGCCCTAAAGACAACGACGGAAAGCCGAAGATACTGGGAAGCAAGGAGACAGATAATGAATTGCTATATATGTACACCCTCCCCCAAAATTGGGGGAAGCTGAAGTCAAAGTGTAAGGGGGCTAATGATAAATATCATAAATCCTGCCACTTGAAATAAATTAATAAATTATTGGTCCGCCAATTTTACCCTTTACGAAGATGGTTGTGTGAAGAAGACAAAGGTTGTCTTCAAATTGAATACAAATTTAATCCACACAATCCAATTCAAGATGGAATGCAGAGTGAAACTGTAAAGGCTCTAAGAGATGAACAGTTTGGAGCTACATCTTAAGCGTGTCAATTACTCTAGGTACATAAACGATCAAAAATCGTATTGGAATAACTACCGTAAGCCGCATGGTATGTATTGAGGGACACATTGGGTTTCTTTGGAAGACAGTGAAATTTTAAATCCATATTACTGAATAATTACTTTATAATCCGAAAAAATATGAATTTCATTACTTGATAGCAGGCTTTTCATTAACATAGCTGTTTCTACTGTGACGCAGTGGAGAGGCGTAGAGTGGACTTGTAGCTCAAGCACACGTTTCTCAGTCGAGAGCAATTAGTATTTATCTATAACCTTGAGCATGGGCCAAATGATTGGCCGTCGTGTTGGCCAATCAATTTGAGATGGCTTCTTAATTGGTGTTGAAACATAACCAGCCATGAGTTGGACTTCAAGTAAACAAAATCCATTTTCTCTCGAAAACCATGACTGCCTTTGGTTGGCCTTCCAAACCAAAAATAAATTCAATAAGTGCAAAATAAAGTGAATTATACTTCCTCCATGTTGTAAGGTGTTATTAAAACATAGTGAGTTTAATGAAAGTTGGCACCTTATCTGAAAACGCAAAATCTATTTTCTCTCGCTAAGCCTACCAAACATAATTCAATTTATTCGATGAAAATATCAAGTTGATCCAATTTCATCTTTGGGGCAATCAGCAACCCCTTATTCGAGCCCTTATAGGAAAAACAGAAAATTGTAAGCAAGAGCTGCATCTATAGCAGCAAATTCACTTCCATCATCCACCAAAATCT